ATTCAAGGTAAGCACCTACAGGGCCGGCCCCTCCTTGGGCTCGCAATTCTAGCGAGGCATCCAACACATGGGATATCCTTCTCCATTGACATCTTATTTCGGCGGCCATTTGGGCCCATGGAGATTGTGAGTGGGCCAACTTGTGGGTCGCCCTCCCCTCGATCGACCATCCAGACATTGTTCTTGGCGGCTGAAAGTGCTAGTTGTCGACTAGAGGGGGGTGAATAGGCGATTTTTATGAAAGTCTTCAAAACACGGTGGCTTTGAAGACAAACAGGTAAACTGAACCTATACAGTAAGTAGCGGAATGAAGACTACACTAGGCAAACATTAGTCAAGCATACAAGCATACAATACAGGGAAAACACGAAGGCTAACTGCAACTAGGTAGACATGATCAGAATGGAAGATAGTGTGAAGCTAAACAGATACAAGTCTTCACACAATGAAGTCAAATGAATCAGTCAGGCAAGCAATGACTTCATGAAGACAAAATGTAAAGTAAGGAGAGTAGAGGATAAAACCAATTGCTTGGTGAAGACAAAGATTTGGTAGACCAGTTCCAGTTGCTATGACAACTGTACGTCTGGTTAGGGAGGCTGAGATTGAACTTAGAAAACTGTGTCTTCACGTTATTCCCCTTGAGCTAAGGACACCCAGTCCTCGCCCAATCACTCTGGTAAGTCTTCGAGGTAGACTTCCAAACCTTTACAGACTTCGTTCACCGGCAATCGACAACGACTCTTGGATGCTCAGAACGCGACACCTAACCGGCTGGAGGATACACAGTCCTCAAGTGTAATAAGTTTTCGGGTCACGCAGACAGAAAGACTTCAGTGATGCCTAACACTCTTTGGGCTCTGGGTGTTTTGGGCTTTGTCCTTGCAAGGATCTCTCTCTCAAATGCTTCAGAGGTGGGCTGCTCTCAAACGATAAAAGCCGTGTACTAACTCTGAGCAGCCACCAATTTATGGTGTAGGGGGTGGTCTATTTATAGCGAGGAGGCAACCCGACCTGATATGTCCAAAATGACCCTGAGTCACTAAGGAACTGACACATGTCCAACGGCCAGATTTCAAACACACGTGGCAGCTTGGCTTGGGCTACAAGCAAAGCTGACTCATCCAACTCTGGATAAGGTTTGCTCTCATTGTCTTCGTTCGAAGACATAAGATTTGGTTGAGCATCACTTAATTCACTTTTACTTTGTTCACTTGGACTGTCACACCCAATATGCGACTCTATTCTAAAGAAACTCGAAGGTCCCACCAAGGATAGAAACGCATATTGGAGACGCTTTTGCAAGGTGGATATCATTACATCGCACCATTACATAATAGTTGAGGATACATACAAGAGGCATACAAAGCCACACGAATACAACAACATCATACATAAGAGCATCATCCGACTACGGATGAAACAGAAACAGAAACTCAAACATCCACCCTGCTAGCCCAGGCTGCCGACCTGGAACCTATCCCCTGATCGAAGAAGCAGCAGAAGAAGAACTCCAAAACAAGTAAACATCGCTCTCGCGTCAAGATCATCACATAACCTGTACCTGCAACTGTTGTTGTAGTAATCTGTGAGCCACGAGGACTCAGCAATCCCATTACCATGGGTATCAAGACTAGCAAAGCTTAATGGGTATGGAAAAGATAAGTGGTGAGGTTGCAGCAGCGACTAAGCATATATGGTGGCTAACATACGCAAAATAAGAGCGAGAAGAGAAGCAAACGGAACGGTCGTGAAGCTAGCAATGATCAAGAAGTGATCCTGAACTCCTACTTACGTCAAACATAACACAAAGACCGTGTTCACTTCCCGGACTCTGCCGAAAAGAGACCATCACGGCTACACATGCGGTTGATGCATTTTAGTTAAGTCAAGTGTCAAGTTCTCTACAACCGGACATTAACAAATTCCCATCTGCCACATAACCGCGGGCACGGCTCTCAAAAGTTTATACCCTGCAGGGGTGTCCCAACTTAGCCCATCACAAGCTCTCACGGTCAACGAAGGATATTCCTTCTCCCAGGAAGACCCGATCAGTCTCGGAATCCCGGTTTACAAGATATTTCGACAATGTTAAAACAAGACCAGCAAGACCGCCCGGATGCGCCGACAAATCCCGATAGGAGCTGCACATATCTCGTTCTCAGGGCACACCGGATGAACACTACATACAACTGAAACCAGACCTCAAGTTTCGCCGAGGTGGCGCTGCAAGTGGCTCTAGTTTGGACCAACACTCAGAGGAGCACTGGCCCGGGGGGTAAATAAAGATGACCCTCGGGCTTCGGAAACCCAAGGGAAAAAGGCTTAGGTAGGCAAATGGTAAAACCAAGGTTGGGCTTGCTGGAGGAGTTTTATTCAAAGCGAACTGTCAGGGGGGTCCCATAAATCACCCAACCGCGTAAGGAACGCAAAATCAAGGAACATAACACCGGTATGACGGAATCTAGGGCGGCAAGACTAGAACCAAACACTAGGCATAAGGCCGAGCCTTCCACCCTTTACCAAGTATATAGATGCATTAATTAAATAAGATATATTGTGATATCCCAACATAATCCTGTCCACCATGGAGCAATCTTCATCTTCACCTGCAACTAGCAGCGCTATAAGAGGGGGGCTGAGCAAAAGCGGTAACATAGCCAAACAACGGTTTGCTAGGAAGGCTGACAAAGGTTAGAGGCTGACATGGCAATTTGGGAGGCTTGAAGAGCAAGTGTTAGGTAGCGCAGCATAGTGATAGAACGAAGCAACTAGCATAGCAATGATAGTAGTGAGATCCAGGGTGACGGTCATCTTGCCTGAAATCCCGCTAGGAAGAAGAACGAGTCCATGAAGAAGATAAAGCCACGAAGACGAACCAAGCGTAGACGAACGAATCCTCACGATCGCAACGAAACAGGAACTAACGGGAAGGAGCACAACCGGAAAGAAGCAAACAACAAGGTAAACACACAACACATAGACATGACATGATGCTCAACCAAATATGATGCATAACAAGGTTACATGAAGCTACCCATGGCAAGAGATGATGCATACAAGAACAACACATCAAGGCAAGTTTAAATGAGTCCGGAAACAACATATAACAATTTCGGAAAATCCCCATATGCATATTTGGAAATTAGTCCAGATATGAATAAACCTTATGTTCAAGTTGTTAACCAGCAAGTTAAAATGCACCAAGATGATCTACACGAAATTCTAGTCAAGTTACATATAAAGTTTATTTAGTTCGGAGCTACGACCTAGAAGATATGAGCAAAACAAGTTAAACATGGCATTGATGCAAAATGCATACAAACATCAAGCAAACACGTTCAAAACATGAATGCAACAAGGTAATATGAAGCTACATGTAAAACTAAGCAAGTTTCATATAGAGCATGCTCAAAACGGAGCAACGGTGCAGCACATACACTCCAAACAAGATATAACCTCAATCTGTCCAAAACAACAACTAGGCATCTAGCAAGCATCAAAACAATATGCTACAGCACCTCAACATGAAAAAAAAGGCATGGACATGATGTACAGATGAAGCATAAATAATATGAACACTGAGCTATCTCCAGAAATCACTAGAACATGCTCAAAAGGTCATGACAATATTGCAAATAATAACAGTTTCAGACTTAGCAGAAATAACATCAGGTTGCAATGTTTAGAGCTATCAAAGAACATGATACAGGAACTTATCATGGTAAACAAAGGCATGGCATGATAGTACTAAAAGCACTTAACAACACTTCCTAACTGAACTTAATCCAAATATCAACAGAAAACATGGTAGGATCCATGCAAACATGGCAACTGATATAACAGATTCAGAATAACAGTACATGGCAGGAACAACGATAAGTAGGCATGTTTGTGAGATTGTCCAACTCACCACAGAGCAATACATGGAATGTGAAGTCAACCAACAGTAAGATGACATATTTATGAAGCTAAAAATGGCAAGAACAAGTTCATAGGGTGCATGGATCACTAGCAAAACTCATGGAAAAACTGAACTTAATGTTAATAGGCTGACAGCAACATTA